CTAATTTCACCTATCTATAACTATTAAATAATATCTATTCCTACTTTCACCTATCTATAACTATTAAAGAATATCTATTCCTAATTTCACCTATCTATAACTATTAAATAATATCTATTCCTACTTTCACCTATCTATAACTATTAAATAATATCTATTCCTACTTTCACCTATCTATAACTATTAAAGAATATCTATCCCTACTTTCACCTATCTATAACTATTAAATAATATATATTCCTAATTTCACCTATCTATAACTATTAAAGAAAATCTATTCCTACTTTCACCTATCTATAACTATTAAAGAATATCTATTCCTACTTTCACCTATCTATAACTATTAAAGAATATCTATTCCTACTTTTCGTTTCAAATTAATAACCGTTTGACCTGTTGTGATAACCCTAACTATTATAAAGATCTGACCATAAATGTAATAAACCGACATAGCTGTAAATATTAAAATATAGCTCCAGTAATTGTAATAAATCGTAAAAGTAAATGTAATAAGCCTTTACAACAATCTGGTTGTGTCTGAGGATGGGGTGGTGTAATATGCCCCATAATCGGAATATCACTCTAGTTTTATCATTGTACCTAAAGAAACAAAACAAACTCTCAAGTGCAATTATAAAACATGTTTCGACTATTTTCAATCACATGACACAAATGTCAACCTCAAATTTAACATTGATTAGATGACTAACAATAACATAGTGCCAGTGCGGAGGTATTTTTTATTTTGTTTGTTTGTTTTGGAGCAAAGCCACATTGGGTTATTTGTTTGTTCACTGTAGCAAACTGAACCTCGGATTTCAGCATTGTAAGTCTTTAGACTTATCGCTGTCCCATCGAGGAACCAGTATCTTTGAATGAAAAATATGTGTACAAAATTACTTTCATTAATAAAATAAACAATGCTAAATTGCTATAATAACCAAAAAATAGCAATAATAAGAGCACGTATGATTTACTAGAAGAAAAGCTACAAAATGGGCTATTGTGCTCTATCAACCGCGGGTATCGAAACCCGATTTTTAGTGTTACAAACCCTCAGACTTGCCGCTGAGCCACCGGGAAGCAAGATGGATATGATAAGAAGGGTAGAATTTGGTTTAAGAACCTTAACGAGCTGCAAATGTCTATTGAATGAAAAAGGAATGACGTTTCGACTTTAATATTGAGGTCTTCTTCAGGTCAAGATTTTCCATCCCTGGATGATAATGAACTCAAAAAAGTCATTCATTCCACTCTACGGTAACACAAACCGTCTATCTGAAATCTGACCAATCAAGAACGAGCAGCCAATCTTCATTTTCATAAGATCCCGTTACTTGTAGTCTATCGTCAGACAAAATAAACAGTACAGTCTACTCGACAAGACGGCTTATGAAGAAAAACTTCAATTCATTGTACAGATAGTGCTCTACAACGAATTGAAAAAATATCTTACCAACGAAATTGAACGAGCAACTAACAAAATTATAATGCGATTGGATCCTGAAAACTATCTATCTCTACTTAACAACTCATCTCAACTATATGGTTTACTCAAGATACATAAACCTGACGTTCATCTTCGATCCATTATCAGTGATTGAGTGCATCAACGTTTGTGATGGTAGTATAAACTATTACAAAAATCTATTCTGCAGCAAGTATAAATTCCACCCAGTTTTTGCTACGGCACCTCATCAGATTGACCTCTCTGACTGTTTGTCTGTTTCATTCTACAGCTGCTTGAGGTATACGAAGATTGAACGGGAAGTTTTCACCAATGTTTTAATTTAGGTGCATTACAATGAACATAAAGATCAAAAATATACAGAGAGTATTGCGTAGGTGAAATATTTTATTGATAAAATATACAAATAAAAAAAGAGAGACAGATGTAAACCATTGCAAAGAAAGACGTGTTCATTTAGTGAATATCAAGGTCATCCTCGATCTATTGAAACAACAAATTGAAGGCTTCACCGTAACACTGTTCCTGTTGAAAACAAATCACCATAAGATATATATACATACAGAAACATTTACTACTTTAGTGCAGTTTTGTCATCTTGATATCGGTAACGTACAGTGTGATCTTATTAAACTATAAGCACGAATGATATATATATATACAGAAATATTTACTACTTTAATGCAGTTTTGTCATCTTGATATCGGTAACGTACAGTGTGATCTTATTAAACTATAAGTACGAATTTTCAGAACTTTGATAGAACCACCATGTTTGCAATGCTCGATCTCTAAATTCCACCTTTCTGCTATTAAATCACTGCTAACGTTGTTTCGACGAAGTAGCGTTGGTTTTATGAAGAGAGTCAACGTGCAGTAAATAATGATTCTGAAAACATATACTTACAACTTTGTTTTTCTTTTGTGGAAGGTTTAAGACGAGCTACTATCCAATTTACTTATCATAAACAGTTTGAAAGAATAAATGAAGTTGATAAAGGTGTTGCGACGTTTCAGGTGATTTGGATTCACGAAAAATGTTCATACACATGAATGGGTAAAAATGTTAAGTTGGCTCTAAATAAGAGCCCAGAAAGTAAATTCATGGATTAACGCAAAATAATAGCTACGGTTTACTGTCCCTCTCTCTCCCCGGGTACCCTTTACTGCACATGACACAAGATCATTC